GGAATCTGTTAAAACCAAGCATCCTCAGCCTTCAACCTTGTGAGTAACTGGATTTTTCATTTGCAAAATGATTTAGGATTTATGTTTTATGAATTATTGTTGTGAGCTTGCTGTTTGCTATCGAGGCTTATGATTTATGAAAATTGGGAAATTAGTGAATGTGTGATATACGCAGACTGTGATTTGTGATAAATGATAAATTGGGGAATTTTTGATAAATGATAGATTGAAGAATTGTGATTTGTGATTTTAGTGCATTTATATATAGATTGAAGAATTTTTAATATTATTTAATTAAATATTAACAAACGACCTCACTATTGTGATTGTTGACTGTCGACTGTCGACGGTCAACGATCACCCCAGACTGTTGACGATCAATGACCGCCCTAGCTGAGGTTCATTCCTGGATTCGCCGCTAATTGCAAGGCATTTACACATAAACATTAATTGTTATAGGATTGCACACGGGTCACAAATACAAACAAAAATCAGGTCACAAAACAGGACACATGTAGTTTACAAAATTCTTCAAAAGCATACCTATACATGTACATTACAACGGCACATGGATAGCATTTGCAAAGAAAAAAATACAAGTACAGATTAGGGAATTCACTTTCTTCAAGGATTTTTCGTCGAACGCAAACTTTTTCATTCTCTTGGGTGTAGTGCCGTACCTTTATTTCGTGGGCCTGAGGCAAACTTCAGAATTTGGGCCCCTAAGTCAAGCAAGAAATCCATTTTTTTATTGTCCGTTGTTTTCAATCATTAAATTTTTCGATGTTCGTTCCTTCTCTTTTATTTCTTGTTATTAAGATACATATCCATATCTCCAGTTTGGCTTCGAATTAATGCCTCTACTTTTTCTCTCTTCTTCTTTTCTTTCTTGTTATTAAGGTACGTATTCGTATTTCCGGTTTGGTTTCGAATTAATGCATATATTCTTTCTCCCTTCTTCTTTTTTGAGCTCCCAACACATAATTAGGAGCCATGATATTTGACTCAAGTCACTCAACAACTAATACTTACTAAATTCTAAAATTAGAATAAGAACTACACCAATCAACTCTCCTGGAGTTTCACAAAATGTTAATGAATTAAAATTAATGAAATGCAAGCAGTTACTTGAGTTTAGAAGATTATTTCCTAGCAATCAACAATACATACTAATAAATAAGTTTCCGTTTGGCCCTCATTAAATTAAATTTTATTTTTCTCTCCTATTTTCAATCACACAATCTTCTATAAAATAATATTACACTTAAATGGAAAAATTTTCCTTCTTTTTCTGCGACTCATTTTTCAAAAAAAAAAAAATTACTATTCCACCCATTTTATTTTTAAAAAAAATGGAGGCCAAATGGGTGCTAAATAAATTTAAAACTCATAAAGTGAAGCAGAAAATAGTTTTCCACAAGCTCAAATAAAATTCTATTTGTACATAATAAATCTTGCTAAGTTAATCCAACCAAATTGCAACTTTTATTAATGCAAAACTACACAAACGGAAGTGGGGGGAAAAACATATCCAAATCATAATTATATCTTCGCCGCTCTTAGTTTCAAAGATAATTGGAAAAACGTGAAAAAACAAAACAAATTAAGCAACCAAAAGTATATTTTAAGTGAAAAATCAACAACAGTTGCTCACCTAAACCATAAAATTGATAATTAAAACCCTCTTCAACTTGATGCTTTACTTGCAATTTTTCAATAAACTGCGTAAACCTACCAAATAAACCTTCGAATTTTCAATTCCAAGCAAAACCCAGAAAGTAAAAGATTACTAATAACAAGAAAAGGGAAAAGATTAACCCTTAAAAGTCAGAAAAGTTACCTTGTTTCACATGGAAGAAATAGCTCCAAAACAAGAAATAAATGATTTTCCGCTACACGAACTAAAAAAGAGATACCCACAAATCTAAACAGAGAAATGATAAACAAAACTAACTGAAATTTGATTGCTAATGGAATAATCCACTGTCGTTCTCTGGTATTGATTCTGATCCATTTTGATTTCTCGAGGATTTTGCTATTTTGATAGATTCTGATCCATTTTGATTTTTGCCCTTATGAAGCATCGCAATATTTTGGGCCAACTCTTATAAATGGCTTAGTGGATTTAAAAAAAAAAAAAAAGGAAAAAGCAAAATTTTGGGCCCCTTAAAAAGCTGGGCCAAAGGCGGAGGCCTCTTGGGCCTCTCTGCACGTCCGACTATGCTTGGGTGAAGATGGTTTTTCAACTTTTTCTTCCTTTGTTTTCTCTCTTTACCTCTTCAATTTTTAAGAACAACTTATGGTAAATGTCTCTTACACGGAGGATTTTATACTGGGATCCTTCAATTTAATGTTTTGCGAAATCTCGGTGGTGGGAGAGTTAGAGTGACTCGGCATGGAGGTTGAAGAAAGACATGATTGAGAAAAAGGGGCTATTAGAGAGAAATAGATTTAGCATAGAGCTTGAAGAAGAGGGCATGAAGAGAGATAAAGAAAAAAGGGGTGGATTAAAAAGGGTTATTAATGGGATGAACGTAGACATTTTGAGTTAGGGGGACACAATCAAACCCTAAAGATCAAATTTATTCTTGATTTTGAATGATTCATAATTGACCCAAGAAAAATGCAGATTTAATTTAAGCACCTGTTTGAGCCCTTTTTTTATGAAAATGCATTTTGAAATAGTATTTTGATGGAGAATGTGCAATTAAAAAAAATTTGTTTGCGTGTAATATTTTATTGAAGAATGTGCAACTAATAATATGAGAGAGAAAATTTTATTTCAAAAACAATAAGAACCAAACAAGGGCTAAACATATTCCTTCATTAATATTTTACTTATCATTTTCATCCATTTGATTTTGAACAATCATTTCATTAATATTTTGTACATCACTAGAAAATATATATTAACGTTTAAAGAATTTATAGTGTATTTGATATAAACAATCAATTCAAGTAATCTAAAGAAAAATATATAACATATTCAATACTAACAATCAATCAAATAAACACAATTCATTAAATATAAGTCAAATTGGACATAATCCTTTCAGATGCATTCTATATACACGATTTGATAGGAAAAAATAGAAATTTATGTTCTAATTAGTTAAAAATTTGATTAAGAAGTGAAGATTTGTAACTAATATGATCGTTTGTAGAGAAATTTTAAAAAATTAGGAGGGTAAGATTTTAGTAAAAGGCATGAGAGCGAGAGTAGCAAGAGAGTAAGAGAAAAGAAAAAAAATTCAAACTTATTGTTATTTTGTACCTGTTTGGTTAATATTAAAATCAAATTTTTATTAGATTTTGATAAAAGTTGAAAAGTCGTTGATTTTATGAAATGTGTTATTAATATTAATTGTTACATTTGATATAGATTATATTTTAAATTCCAATGAATACCAAATAGGGCTTTATAAAAAAATTAAATTAAAAATTCCCAAAATTTAGGGAGGTCACGTGAACCCCTAGGACCCATGTCTGCCAGCGGTTATTATATGATTAATTCATTTTAATTCTATACTGGTAGTATGCACGTGCGTTTTACATCTTAACCATCGAATGAATGATATGTATAATATTTTTGAAGTATTCTACTATTTTTTATTATAATAACACTTCTTTTAACGATATTTCTCCTGATTTCTCTATTCCTTTTATACATTTAGATGTGCTTGTATTAGTGAGTGTATGATTGTGTAATTATATTTGAAAAATTTTGGGCCAGATGAACTAAGTCAATATTTTCGAGAGAGAGTCCCCATGTGCTTGTATTAGTGAGTGTATGATTGTGTAATTATATTTGAAAAATTTTGGGCCAAATGAACTAAGTCAATATTTTCGAGAGATAGTCCCCAACCTCGATAAAAGAAGAGGGTTGCAATGGGTTCGTGCTTAGCACATAACTTTGTTCAAACTTTATACTGAACAAAATGACAAAAGAGGGTTCATGTGTCCAACTTTGAATTTATTGGGAATAAGACTTATTTTGATGTTGTCTGGACGATATATATCAAAAATGGAACATTCAATCATTTGTTTCCATGTGTCGTGGGGATTCCCTTTTAACTTATTTTATCTCAAAGCTATAGAAAACAATCAATTATAGAAGAATGTTTTAAAAAAATTAGAAAAATACAATTATAATAAAACCATACACAATAAGCCAAAGCCCACTCTTATTTCTCAAAATTTTCCAAGCTGACAACATTCAAGTGCTGATATAAGCACAATATATCAGCACAATATATGTTTTACTGTTATCATTTTTAAGCCAAACAAACAATTCAAAAATGGACGAAAATATCAATACAAAAAAAAGGGTTCCAGCGACCACAAAAGTTGGTCGCTAAAGGTCAATTTTTGGTCGCTAAAGCACTTCAGCAACTTTTGGTCGCTAAAGCACTTCAGCGACCAACAAACTGTGGTCGCTGACTAGATGCTAATTTACCGTCGGTGGAGCTTCACAACGACCAAGCAACTGTGGTCGCTAAATATACACATTTCAATTGGTTGCTAAAACCCTAAACCTTGGTCGTTGATAAAGGTGAAAGTGGGTCGACCCGTTGTAGCAAACGTCATTTGCAACCAATATCTTTGGTTGCAAAAGGTCTTTAGCGACCACCGAGTGGTCGGTAAAAGATCTCCCCTTTTTTTTTTTTAATTTCATTCTTTTGCAACCAAATGTTGGTCGGTAAATGAATTAGATAAAAAAAAACAAAAAAAAACTATCGCACTTCAGCAACCACATGGTGGTCGGTAAAGGGCTATATTTGAGGTAAAAATTGGTTAATTTGTATCCTTCTACAACCAAGTTTTGGTCGGTAAAAAGATAGTAAAAACTGATTATGCGATGAAATGTTGGTCAGTAAAGATGCACCATTAGCAACCAATATTTGATTGTTATAGCCATTTAATAATTTTCTAATTAATAAATATAATAAAAAATGCACAAAAGAAAATAACAAAAATAAAGAAATTCACAATATACAATATTAACTACAAAAGGTAATTGTCATTGCATATAAAATAATTATTAATAATCATTACATTAATTTAAATAACCTATATTTAACCACGAAATGTGTCAATGCACCTTAATATCTTAGTTACAAATGTCTACTAGACTTTTAGCACAAATGGTGCATAGACAATGAAAAATGAGTTATAGACTAGGAAATTGTGAGGCACGAACTCCAGCACTGCAGCTTCAATCACAAACAAATCAAAGTCCTTGTGAATCTCCTGCCCATCAGGAATGCTTAGCTTCCCATCAAAAATCATCTTCATTGCCATAATGTTATAATATACATAAACAAAATCCACAAAAAAGCAGAAAGAGATCAGCATATGATAGCAAGCTCTTTCACAAACAAGAAAATCGAAAGAAAATAAAACAAAGACCTGATCAAAAGTAAATCGAGACTAACTAATTGTACAATTTTATAAGCAAAAAGTTTTTGATTTTGGATAAAAGTAAATAAGAACAACCAATATAATAGTTTACTCTAAGAACAACCAATATCATAGTTTACTCTCTCCTTTTTTTCTCCATGATTGCTTAAACTCGGGAAAGAGGAAAAAAATAAGATTACAACTTCAGACAATCAATTCAGTATTCACAAATTCTGTTTATTAAATGGCAATAAGACTTATCATTCATTAAGTGTGTTGAACTTACACGACATCCAAGTATTAAATGGCAATAAGATTTATCATTCATAAAGTGTACTGAACTTACATGACATCCAAGTCTTAACCTCCATATTTTTCAAACAGGAACTCACCAATTTGCTTTAAGCTGTCCAATAGTGCATATATAGCCACGATAGTGAAAAGAAGAATAATTCACGATTCACAATTAACTGGGAACATTCAAGATAAAGCAGAATCTTGATAATTGAGCATTTAAATGAGCTTCACAAGCATTTTATGTTAGCCTATAGTGTTGTCCTGATGACATGGGCTGATGCAATCTATAATTAAGGAGTTAAAAAATGACCTTGGCTCTCTGGAAATAGCATGAGATAAAAACATAAAAACCTGAAGAGACACCATGAGATACTTATAAAAAGATGTGAAAGCTATTTGGGAATGGAGATATCCCATTCACATATCAATTGAAGATATCTTAGTAAAAATTTGAATAAGAGATACCCAAATAATATTCCATGAAATAAATTTACACGTGCAGAACATATATATTATCATATGACCAGGTTGATAGCCCAATATTCACCGAGTGATCATCATCCAATTATTAATGTACAATATTTTTTATACATTACTTGCGTAGAGGGACGCAACCTTGCAGTCCATCCCTCAATTTCCTAGACAGCAACATATATATGAGATGAAAGTTCTCTCTGTGGATGACAGTGATGCACAACATAGCAATAGAGATAATCCTCCTACAAGCAGGCAATCCAAAACATTAACTTGGTACCTATGTCACTTGCAAGAGCTAGACAATGACCATTAACTTTTGGAACTTGAAGTCATAATACACATGGTTGAAACATTCAAAGAATTGAACAACCAAAAGCAAAGAAATTTCACTTTGAAGCTCACACCACTTAAGATATGCTTTTCTCTGAATAACTAGTAGAGATTGATAAGTGCATTTTATGCACTTATTCGGATTACATAACTAGGTTTTTATGTCGTCAAATTATTAATTTTTACCAACTTGTGTTAATTTTCTTTTGTTTTTAGTTATGGACCCGTTTTGAAGCAATTGGAAAAGAAAATAATCAATTGGCTGTTACATTGAATTTGTGGACTAAATCTCGCGGAATAAAAGATGGAGGATCAAAATTGAGGAGAAAATGAAGAGAAGGACTAACTTGCATTACCCGAAAGAATTGAGTACACAAAACTTATTGGACTTGGGCTCCTAAATTGTATACAGAACAAGGGAAAACTGTAATATATATATACAAACATAAACCTACAAAATTGAGAGGAAGACAAAGCTAAGTTCATAGACACATACATAGAAAACGGCAAATTGGTGAAGTAGGAAAATTTGAGTGGCGGAATATATAAAGTTGGCCGGCTGCTGGGATTTTGAGAAAAGGAATTCTTCCACCAAAACAATTGAGAAGCTTGTGGGGTGAATTAGTGGGCTGCAAAAGTTAAATTATATATATACACTCACCCACATAAAGCCGATAGATTGCGTGGTTGGATTGTGATTGTCGGCCAGCAGGTGGGGAATTAATTGGTGGGCTCAAATCTGATTTTTATACATATATAATTCCCACAGGAAGCAGGCTGCTTGGGGAGACATTGGACGGTTGGAATTAAGGAACACGCATACAGAAGCAGACGACATCACGCAGAAAAGAGGAAAAAGACCGCAGATCTACATATTGAAAGATTAATCATGTTTCGTCAATTATTGGTGATGTCGTTCCACTTTTATTTATTTAATTCTGCCATTATGTTAGGCTAGATCTCTTCGTGCTGGGATTTTGCGATGAACCTTATATTATGAATCCTTAATCTTGAATTTTATTCATTTGACGTTAAAACATGTTTTTAATTATTGAATGATTTGCATGTATTTTATTTTCTCTACAATTATGTGCGCAATAGTTGTATGAGATTTGTGACTTGTTTTACCCTCGAGAGATGGAAAATAAGTTGGACATTATGTTAATTGTCGTAAAGTCCGATAGGGGATAGAAATATACCGCTATGCTTTACGTGATCTTTAAGTATTCATAAATTTTTAATGCATTTTTATATGTTCGCATTCGTCACAGAAATATAGTCGGGTCACATGTAAAAATAGGATTAACTCTACTCGAAAGAGATTGTTAAACAAATTAGGAATATTGATCTTCATAATTGAATCGTGTTGTCAATTTTATAAAATTCGGATTAAAGAGGGTTGATATAAGGGGATTCGGGATCTTAGTACGCACTTCGTTATCATATTTTTATAAAATTTGCATTTAGTTATAATTACGCATTTAATTGAGTTAATTTAAACTTTATATCTTTAAGTAAGTTATTAAATCACAATATAGTTAGCAAAAAATCACGAATTTCTATTGTTTCGGTTAAGGCGAAGATAATTTAAATTTAAACTAATACAATCTCTGTGGGACGATACTTGAACTTAAAAGGTCCACTTTATTACTTGAACGCAACCCGTGCACTTGCGGTGTAGGATTTTAGCAAACAGAGATTCCCACATTCAATAAAAATTATATAAAACATACTTCCTCACCCATTATCATCCAAAGCTAAAAGATGAAGATGAGCTTTCTCCAAACCAAAGAAGTTACCTTATACATATAATAGAGACTTGTCTCTCTTCTTCAAACAAAGATGTTGTCTCACTCTTGTTTAAGTGGGTTACATTAAAACTCAACTTTCATCTTTCAGGCTTGAAGAATGATGATATAATACTGACTCCAGTGACTTATTCATTCGACATGCCATCTTGTAAATTTGAGAAAATAAAATAGGACCACAATTGAGTCAAAGAGGAACAGAAAAGCTAGAATTGATGAAGCCAGAATTTTCTTTTTAAAGTTTGATCAAATAATGTATCGCAATTGAACTATTATGCAATCTGCTTCATTTATTAGGTTAAAAAAAAAAAAAAAAAATCCAGGATCAGGGAAGGGGAAATAGAAAACCTGATGGTCTCAAGAGCGAGAATGGCTTTGGTTATGGTCCCGCTAAAGCACCACTAAGGAACACACCAGCTGCTCTACTTCTCAGAATATCCTGAACCAAAGCAAAGCAATTTATTCACATTTAGACACCCAAATCAGTTGAAATTTGATGGTATTCACCAATCATTCAATTCAAGACTTGCAACAGCTCGTATTTAGCAATTGAAATTTGACGTAACATCGAGAAGCTGAATAAAATGGAATCCAGTTGAAGCATTTGGCGCATAAGAGATCACGAGAATTTAAAAGAGAAGGAAATAGGTAGAAGAGAAGAACTTTGGAGAAAGAGAGAATTAGGAGGGCAAAATCAACATCAATTGAATAGCAAATTCTATTTTTAATGAAAAAAAACCCTACACCTATAGGTAAAAACCTCTAGTAACAAGAGAAAAGCTCACAAGTTAAAAACTCAGTCGAAATCACCACATGAAAGCCTAAATCATCATTAAAAAAGACATGGCAAAAATTAAAACTATGAAAACATACTACATTTATTAATGTTCACCTATAACAGTTCCCAGCTAGAGCATATCCGTTGTCACATAAACTTTATAAACAAATGATGCTAAATTTCAACTACATATATCAGCTTCAAAAATTAACGATTAACTCACTAAGAGGATTTATCTCTCCACCATAACCCTAACCCGTATCACCTCCTCAAAAGCAACAGCCACCTCCCTAGACACACCATACAATGTCCCTCTTGAGTGACCAGCCCATAGGAGAAAAATACTCCTACAAAAATGAACGAAATCAAAACCAAGAAAAAATAATCATAAAATGCGATAAAAGAAAAGAAGAGTAAAAGAAGAAATCCATTTACATAACAGGCCGAAATCGTATAGTATCCTGCACATTCATGGAACCCACTTAATACCAACAACCACGATTGAACAAGTTCAAGTAAAAGAAGAGTAAAATAAGAAACCCATTTACCTAGGAGGCCGAAATCATACAGTAACTATGAGTTTTCTTTAGCTTTACTCGAAGTTGTAGCAGTGGATGTGACGGACTGGTCGGCCCATGGCATTGTTTAGGTGGCACTGGCACAGCAACGAAGAACTAGAACCAGACCCGAGAAGCGGGTGCTGCAAGCGAGTTCGCCTAAAATACCATCAGTAGGATGAGAAAGCTTAGAGCGACTGCTACGGTAAGCCAACATGGAAGAAGCGAAAAGAGAGGGGGGAGGGGGGGGGGTAGCTAGAAAAGTGATGTGCAAGACAATTTTTGCCCTTCGTGAATAATAGTGTAATTGCAAGGCAAGTACTTCATTTTCTTACAATATAACTTTTAGCCCTTAGTAATAGAACACTAAGTCCATAAATTCCTATTTTATTTCATGTCTATCACTTCTAAGTATTAGTAATTTCAAATTAAGCCTCATGAAATCATTTGTTCAACTTAAGTCCTTATTTTGACTGACTTTGACCCATTGATTTTTTTTTTTAATTTGATTAAATAATTTATTGACTTCAACTATAATGAGTGGTGTGTAATAGTAAGTATCAACACTTATGCAATTTATTCGAGCCTATCTAGCAACGATTTTTGCTGAAATTAATATGAACTTTTGGACCGTTGCCACAATAAAGTGTGAGGAGGAAGTCAACAATTGTAGGTAGCAACAAGCATAATGGGTAATAGCAAAAACATTTTTTTTTTATTTTATCATTCGATTTTTAGACTTCAATATTTAACTTAAATAATTAAACACAATTACAAAAACAATAATTTTGTCATCGATTGACATTTAGAGGCTGTTTGGTAGCCATTATATTTCCCCCAGTAATTCATTTTTGGATCGTTTCGAGTCCATCTCTGACAAAGCATTAAATTGTATGCAGGCGCCTACCATTCTCATTTCCTCCAATTGCCCCAGATATGTGCATGGGTGGAAATTGTGGAATAAAAAATCAAGTAAGGACAAAGAGGGCAAATATGGGAATTTGCACATTTTGAATTAGATTTGGAGAATAAAATATGACGTGTACACCACATTGATTTGATAGGAAAAATGCATTTTGCCAATTAATGGCTACTGTTGACAACCGAACTTCGATCTAAATTAAAACAGTTCGCTAACCCCACCTCAGGCAAATGGGAGTTCGGTTCCTACTCCCAGGTCGGACAATCCCGCCGTTATCTCAAAAAAATATCATGATTATTCCCTGTCACATCATTCTATCAATCAAATACACTTGCCACAGGTAACATCATCGCCGCCCGAAACTACCAATCCTAAGTCCTAATCCTCAAGCTCCTTTTAGGTCATCATTACCTGAGGAAAACATTAACACATGGCCACCGGCCTCGTTGAGTAATCACAGGAGAATTCGGCGACCCGAGCTTCAAGCTCAGTATTGTTGCTGATTTGATGTGATTTCGGTTGAAATTATGTATAAATAGTTGAATAGGACTCTTGTAAAGGGCAAATGAATTCATATAACGACTCATGGCACACTTACACTTTCTAAACATATTTTGTGGTCTCTTTCAACAATAAATCACCTTTTTTCTTAAAGTTGACCTAAGATTAGTCTTACTAATTTTGACGTCAACAGTTTGGCGCTAGAGGAAGGGCCCTAATTGTGAAAAATAGTCTCATTCTATCTACAAAATCCGAGGGCCATAGGTCATAGCTCAAGTTCCAGAAATCCATCTCACACCCACCCTCATGAAACGAATACACCACCAAGTTCTCCATGACGGCAGGACCTCAAATGACCGCCATGAGGGAAGCCCTGAAAAGATTGACAAACACAGTGGGATGATTGGAAAGAAATCAAGCCCACACGTCCCCCACCAAATACCGAGGAGGAATTCCCTGTAAGGACAAAGGTAAGGTGTCCCCCCCCCCCAGGAGGACTCTCCACTTTGTAAGAGGAGAATCTTTAAGAAGCCGAACTGACGAGGTTAGAAGTAAGGAACCTGAGGCGAGGAGGACTGCAAGTGTGTTCGACAGATTGGGGACCCAGCACTCGCTGACCCTTATGTAAGGACAACCCAACCTGAAACTTCCTTTGGGATAAACAGAACCTGAACTAAGGGCGTTTAAAAAACGCATCGTCGACCTGAAGGCTAAAAACAAAGGTGGCACTGAAGATTATCAGACCAAACGAAATTCCCCCTTCACTGAGGATATTCTTATAGAACCATTACCTGAAAAATTGAAAATCCCCAAGATGGCCGCATACTAAGGGGATGGTGATCCCCTTAGCCACCTTGACAAATACACCTCGCGGATGTGACTACAGGGGACAAGCAACGCAATCATGTGCCGGGCATTCTCCCTGACTCTGGGAGACAAAGCTCAAATATGGTTTAGGAGACTACACGAGAGGACGGTAAAGAATTTGGATGATCTGGCCACGGCATTCTTGGCCCAGTTCATGGGCTTCAAGGCCAGAACCACGCCCAAAGAATGACTAGTGAACATCAAGCAGGGAAGAAGTGAATCCCTCAAAAGCTATCTGAGCAGGTTCAACAAGCAATCCATGGAAGTGGAAAAAATATCTGATGATGCGGCACTCATAACCGTATTAGCAGGACTAAAGCCCAAAACAAGATTTTGGTGGTCATTACACGAGGACAGTCCAAGGACTTATCACGAGTTCCTAAACCAAGCTGATAAATACATAAGTGCTGAAGAAGCAACCTTTGACCAAGAGGAAGCCAGATGCGAAACCGACCTCAGCAATACGGTAAAGGAGAAAAAACTAAGTTGCCATCCCCAGCCCGAAAGAAAGAATGATAGGAGAGAAAGAGAACATCCTAGGGCTCAGCTATACAAATTCCGAGAGTACCACCCACTCAAAGCCTCCTTGGAAGAGATATTTACGCAAGCCAATGTAAAAGAGGCATTTTGCAGACCTATGATCCTAAAGGACGGATAGGCAAGACAACATCAAGGACGATACTGTCGATATCACAGGATGGTGGGCCATGACACTGATAACTACCGAGACTTAAAAGAGGAAGTTGAGTCCTTAATTTGAAGAGTCGGTTACAGAAGTTTGTTGCCAAGCCAAAAAAAGCAGATCGACCTACGATGCAGCAGCCACTGCTGTAGGGGCTTCCCACACGAGCTCAGCAGGTAGTCCCTAACCGTAATCCACCCCCACATGTCTAAATCAAAATGATGGTGGGAGAAAATCAGTATATTGAGGGATCCAGAAGGGCGAGACGAAGACAAGCCTAAAGTGCAAGAACCATGCCGAACTACTGGAATCAAACCCCTCAGATCGGTATAGACCCTGAATGGTTCTAGTTCACGAAAGAAGATTCTGAAGGAATCCTTCAAGACAAGAGTGACGCCCTAGTGGTTACAATGACGGTTGCCAAAGTAAAAGTCCACCGCACTTTGGTAGACAATGGAATTTCGGTCAACATACTATACTCATGAACTTTGAGGTAGTTGGAAATATCAGAATGCTACCTCCAATCGTACCCAAGGAAACTATAGGGATTCTCTGGGGATCCTATTGAAGCCCAAGGTCAGATCGTCCTTATTGTGGAGCTGGGCGAAGCTCCTCGGCAAAGAAGGATACTAGCAGATTTTGTGGTGGTCGATTTGCTATCCAATTATAATGCAATATTGGGACGACCCATTTTGCACGAGCTAAAAGCTGCCACATCAATTCATCATTATTACATGAAATTTCCAACTCCTTACGGGACAAGAATTATCCGAGGAGATCAAGCTACTGCAAGGGCATGCAATGTCGACCTGCTAAGGCCACAAGTTAACATGCTAAGGAGCAGGACGAACATGCAAGCTGGGAAAGCCAGATTGAAGAGACCAATCGTTGCGGATCTCTCGGAGATCGGCATAACTGAGAAGAACCTCAAAAAAGCCACATATGAGCAACTGTCCTTTGACGAGAAGGAGGCAGACTCACATCCTTACCTTGGAGCTCTGGTAATCTCATTACCTGTGGCTGGGGTAACCATCCCCAAAGTCTTGGTAGATACAGAAAATGCTCTAAACATCCTATTCGGTAACATCCTTAAATGGATGGGTATCCCTGCTAACTTCCTTCGACCATACCCAAATATGATCCTAAGATTAAGCGTAACCTTGACTTCTGCAAAAGGATCGATCAAACTCAAAGTTGAGTCAGGATCAGTACCCCGGCAGGTGAAGATGAACTCCGAGTTCGTGGCATTCGACCCTCCCTTCCCTTATGATGCTGTGATGAGACAGCCCCTACTCTTCAGCTTGAGAGCAGCAGTTTCCCTATATCACTATTATAACAAATTTTCCACACCCCATGGAATGGGTGAAGTCAAAGGAAACAGGGAGCTCATCGAAAGATGTCAATGGAAAGCCTGTACCAGCCATCAACTCAACCCCTCGGGAGTGCATATGGCAAACATATGAGAATCCAAACTCATTCCACTATACTCGCGGACCTGGATCGAAGGTGGAGAACTCGTCAATGAACTAGAAGGAGTTCAAGTCTGTGCCAAGGACCCAACAAAGGAGCTCAAAGTCGGGTGCATGCTACAGCCCTCCATCCGAAGCGAGATTGTGGCCTTCCTTAGACAAAACCTTGATATCTTTGCCTGGAATCATGAGGACATCAAAGGAATAGATCCCAATATCGCATGCCACAAATTACAGGTTGATCCTTCAGTTCGGCCAAAGCAGCAAAAATGACGACCTCTGAACCCTGAAAGATATGAAGCACTCAACAAGGAGGTGTAAAAACTATTGCACAATGGTTTCCTCCATGAGGTGAAATACCTTAAGTAAGTCGCATATCCGGTCCTTGTGAAAAACACAACAGAGATTGGAGGGTATGCATAGACTTCACCGATCTCAACAAAGCATGCCCAAAGACAGTTTTCCTTTGCCAAAAATAGATCAAATGGTGGATGCCACTGCCGGACACAAACTACTCAGCTTCATGGACGCGTATTTCGAATATAACCAGATACCAATGTACGGCGCAGATCAAGAACATACCTCATTTGTAACTGACCGAGGTCTTTACTACTACAGAGTAATGCCATTTGGTTTCAAAAATGCTGGCGCCACTTACCAACGACTTGTGAATTCCATGTTTTCCCAGCAGATCGAAAAAATAATGGAAGTGTGTGTTGATGATATGCTGATCAAAAGCATCAATGCAAAGGACCACTGTCAGCACCTGACCGAGATGTTTGATATACTGAGAAAATATGGAATGAAGTTGAACCCAAGGAAATGTGCTTTCGGGGTCAGCTCTGGAAGGTTCCTAGGTAACATTGTAAACAATCGAGGAATCAAGGCAAATACTGAAAAAATACAAGCTGTCATCCAAATGAAACCTCCAACCAAACCCAGAGAGGTACAAAGTTTAACCGAAAGGGTTGCTGCCCTCAGCCGGTTCGTTTCCAAGTCTACGGACCATTACAAACCCTTCTTTGACACGTTTTGAGGAGGAAAGAAGTTCGAATGGACCAAAGAATGCCAGGACGCCTTTAACGAGCTAAAGAGACAACTAGCTCAGCCTCCATTGTTTTCAAAACCTAAGGCAAGCGAGGTCCTGAAACTTTATTTATCTATTTCAGAGCATCCATTAGTGCCGTTCTAACCTGAGAAGAAAACGACGTTCAACACCCGATCTATTATGTAAGCAAAGCGCTTCACGAAGTCGAGCTCAAATATTCGCTTGTAGAGAAACTGGCATTCGCCCTGCTGATGGCAGCGCCTAAAACTGAGGCCATATTTCTTGGAACACCCCATTGAGGTCCTCACCAATTCTCCATTGAGGCAAACACTACAAAGACCCGACACTTCAGGTCGGATGGTAAAATGGGCAGTCGAGCTCGAACAATTCGACATCAAATACACCCCTCGTTCCTCCATCAAGAGCCAAGCAGTCGTCGACTTTGTATCTGAGTTATGCAACGTCCTAATCGAGGAACTACAGAAAGAAACCCCATGGAAACTTTATGTCGACGGTTCATCCACTAGAGAACGATCTGGGGTAGGCGTCGTATTAATCAGCCCTGAACATCGCATATTCTGCGAAGCCTTGCCATTTGACTTTAAAGCCTCAAACAATGAGGCTGAGTACGAAGCTCTCATTATCAGAGCAAGGATGGCCTTAGGGTTGGGGATCTCCGACCTAATCATACACAGCGACTCCCAACTAGTCGTGAATTAGGTCAACGGTGTATATATGGCGAAAGAAGAAAGAATGGACAACTACCTACGAGTTTTAAGGAAGGAACTTGAAAGGTTCAACACCATCCAAGTCAAACAAATTCCTCGATCCCAGAACAGTCACGCCGATGCACTGGCCCGCCTAGCCACTAGTGAGGGAATCGAAAAGTTCGATAGCATCCCCGTGGGAAGAATATCCCTACCATCCACCGAGCTGGCCGAAGTGGTCCTTATGATGATAGGCCCCAAACCAACCAGGCAGGACGAGATCATCGCCTACCTAAAAACTGGGAAATGTCCCGAAAACTCTACAGAGGCTAGAAAGCTCCAAATTAGGTCAACTAGGTACACACTCATGGACGATGGACTATACAAACGGGGATATTCTACACCCTTGTTAAGGTGTTTGAACGAAGAAGAAGCTCAGCAAACCTTGCAAGACATTCATGAATGAATATGTGGAAACCATTCAGGTTGGCTCTCATTAGCCCACAAGATTATACGACAAGGATACTTCTGGCTTGCAATAAGACGTGATTCCCTCGAATTTGTCAAAAGATATGACAGTGCCTCGCCCCCATCATAAATACTCCACCCGTCCTTTGCAAAATGGGGGGTCAACCTAATTGGACCTATGCCCATTGGAAAAGGAGGTGTAAAATTTGCCATCCTCGCAGTTGATTACATCACCAAATGGGTCGAGACAGAGCTACTTGCCAAGATCACCGAAAAACAATCGAATTTTTGTGGAAATCAATCATCTGCAGGTTCGGCATACCTCACTCCATTGTTACGGACAATGGAAAATAGTTCGACAATGTACGACTTTTAGATTTCTGTGAAGATTTCGGCATCAAGAAACATTTCTCAACGTCGAACCATCCGCAGACAAACGGCCAAGTCGAAGCCATTAACAAGATTATTAAGCACACATTGAAAGTAAAACTTGACTTGTTTAAAAGAGGATGTGATATGATCCAGGAGTCGAGCCCGACGAAGGCAAGTGCGAGACGAGACCCGTTGATAGTCGATGGCGGACCAATGACGCGATCAAGGGCAAAGCAAGTGAAACAAGTGATGGGATTTCTCATTTAAGAAACCATTGGTGGAACCATGTTCGGGACTCAAAATGGAGCAACTTTCATGTTCGGGTCGAAAGCCAAATCAACTTGGATCAATTTGTTATCAAGCGACGAAACCGGAGGCTGAAAATAAACTTGTGCGACCGCACAGCAAAAACACCATGCGGCTGCATAGTGGCATACCGAAACTTAAATTGGCATTTTTGTTGAACTATGCGACCGCATGAAAATACACCATGTGGCCGCACAGGCCAAAATTTTGGCGGATTTTTCAATTTTGGCGATTTTCCATATTTTGTTAGATTTTGATTCTTTTCCATATTTTGGAGATTATGCTCAACTTTTGCACGATTTTTACCAAGTTTTTAGGTTTAGTATAAAATAGGAGTTTCCATTCAATTGTTAAAAACCTTTGACATTATTGATATTGAATTAAAGTGAGGCGTATTATATTCTCTTCATCGTTCTTTATTGAACAATTTTGAACTTATCAAGTGATAACTTGTGGCGTTCAAACAACCGGATTTAATTCTTGGATTGCATGATCAAGGGGTCTTTCAATGGTCGTTCTTGTTAGGTTTTTTGGTTCGACTTTCTGTTGGGTTAATCATAAACTCTTGGATTAATTTGGCTTTCTTGGGTTCGTCAATCTCGTTGTGGGTTTCGTAGTCAACGTTGCTATGGGGTTCGCAT